AGACGAAATCCATGAGCAAAGCACACCAAACCCATCGACTGACTTTACACATAATTTTCCGAATTTAGTCGGATTACGTGCACAATTATTCATACAATTTCATTGCTTTCCACAAAGCGATGGACTCGTCAACCAGTGTGTTAAACACGCAGGAGAATTCTGATAATCTCTGTGAGTATCCCATACTAGAACAATCGTGAATCACAGGGTGCGTTTCGTCCAGAAATCTGAGCCAATTCGCATTCGGTTTTCATGACAGCGGTAGACAACGGAATCAGTGGACACTTGAGCAGCCTATTTTAGGTTTTGAACATTGTAAATTATATTGAAATGTGTTTGGGGCGTGATACCTCGACACTACCTCTGCCAGGAGGCGAATTTGGTGAGGATAGTTGCAACGCCCAAAATTCGCCTCACACACCGGTCGACACAAGCGACAAATTGTTCCCCAATCGACTCGAAGCCCGCCGAATGTATGCGAAGGCCATGTGCAACGGGGAAATCCCAGAGGAGAGCGCACTAACGCCATCGACTGGTTTTACACAAAATTTTCCGAATTTAGTCGGAGTACGTGCACAATTATTCATACAATTGCATTGCTTTCCTCAAAGCGATGGACTCATCAACCAGTAAGTTTAACATTTAAACGCATTTTCGTGATCTGGGTGAGCACCGATCAATAGAATGCGTGAAATACAGAGTGCAATTCGTTCATTGTACTGAGGGAATTTGCACGCGATTTCGATGAGAGCGCGAAATAGCGGAATCAGCGAAAATCTAGGCCGCATATATTAGGTTTGGAAGTTTGTAATTTATATTTCAATTTGTTTGCGGCGTGATGCCCCGAAACTACTTCTGCCAGAAGGCGAATTTGGGGAGGATAGTTTCATCACCGAAAAATCGCCCCACACACTGGTCGACACCAGCGACAAATAGTTCCCCAATCGAGCCGAAGCCCGCCAAATGTATGCCAAGGACACTTGAAACGAAGAAATGAGTTAGGAGATCACACCACCGTCATCGACTGGTTTAACAGATCATTTTCCGAATTTTGTCGGATAGCATGCACAATTATTCATATAATGACATGGATTTCCTCGAAGATGCGGACAAGTCAACCAGTAATTTTGAAACACGAGAAAACTCTCGTGATATTTTCGAGCTTCTCTAACAAGAGAGCGTGATCTACGGAGTGAATTTCGTTCAGGAATCTGGGGCAGTTTGCATTCGTTTTGGACAACAGCGCTAAACAGCGCAATCAATGAAATTATTAGAAGCCCATACTAGGTTTGGAAGTTTGTCAATTATATTACAATTTGTTTGGGGCGTGATACCACGACTCAACTTCTGAGAGAAGGCGAATTTGATGAGGATAGATTCACTAACGGAAAAATCGCCCCACACATGGTTCGACACCGGTGACAAATATTTCCCCATTCGAGTCGAAGCCCGCGGAATGTATGCGAAGGCCATCTGCAAACGGAGAAATCAATGAGGACAGCACTCTAACGCCATCGACTGGTTTTACGCATAATTTTCCGAATTTAGTCGGATTACGTGCACAGTAATTCACATAATATCATTGCGTTACACAAACGATGGACTCATCAACCAGTAAGTTTAAAGACAAAAGCAGCCTCGGGATATGTGTGAGCTTCTCGAACAAGAGTGTGTGAAATACAGAGTGCATTTCGTTCAGGATTCTGAGACAATTCACATGCGATTTCTTTGGCAGAACTGAACAGCGAAATCAGCGTACACTAGAGAAGCCTATATTAGGTTTGGAAGTTTTGAATGATGTTGCACTATGTTTGGCACGTGCTACCACGACAAAACTTCTGGGAGAATGCGTACTTGGTGAGGATAGTTTCACTGACCAAAAAATCGACCCACACATGGTTCGACACCAGCGGCAAATAGTTCCCCAATCGAGTCGAATCCCGCCGAATGTAGGCGAAGGCCATCTGCAGAGACGAAATCCATGAGCAAAGCACACCAAACCCATCGACTGACTTTACACATAATTTTCCGAATTTAGTCGGATTACGTGCACAATTATTCATACAATTTCATTGCTTTCCACAAAG